CACTTGTGCCTGGCTGCCAGCTGGATTTAACTCCACTGACCATCACTCTTTGGGCCCGACTGTCCAGCCAGTGCTTGTAGATTTAGGCTGGACATTAGGAAAAAGTTCTTTACTATGAGGGTGGTGGATCACTGGAACAAGCTGCCTAGAGTTGGTGGAGGCCCCATCCCTGGGGACATTCAAGGTCAGGCTTGATGAGGCTCTGAGCAATGTGGTCGAGTTAGAGATGTCCCTGCTTATTGTAGGGGGGTTGGACTAGATGACCTTTATAGGTCCCTTCCAACCCAATACATGCTATGATTGTATGGCTCTATGATAAATAGTACCAAAACTATTTAAAACAGTTACATACAAAATTAACTCATTTACTTGCAGTAGTCTGGCAAGATTTTTTTTTCCGGGTCTACTTCAGAAAATTATACCATATTCACTAGATATTTTATCTCCTTCAATTACATTTTACCCTCATGTTTTAAGAATAAGGTTTTCCAAAATGCTACTAACGAATACATTTTGTCATTTTAAAAAAAATATTTTTCCTGAATACTTTTGGAGAAGCAGGAGAAAAGGAGAAATGTGTCCCGACAGTGTCATCTAGTGGCAAAACACATTCAAAGCCCTTGAGAGAGCAGTAGCAGCTGAGCTGGACAGCTGGTCAGCACCTTCTTCACACTGATTAATGACTGATCCAGATTTGCACTTTTTTGGGAGGCTCCCTGCGGACGACTTAGAGACTTTTTCACCCAGAACAGATGAGAGAGTACTTCTAGCAGTTTGCACAGGAGATGACAAGGCCATGCCTGTTGCTCTGGAGGAAGAGGCCCATCATTTTTAGTTCAGTTGCTAAGAAAGATTTACCCTTTGCACATCTAAAAGTATCACCTGGGTAGTGAAATCACAAAGGGATATTAGTATCTTTCAAGAAAGGTACGTTTTTTAAGCTAGCCTGACACAGAAAGCCAAGCTACAGAAGCTTAAGGACTATGAATTTGTGCTTTGTGGGAAACTGGTATAGGTAGGGAGTAGAGAAAATTGTCTCTGTTAGAAAAGCTAATAGGAAAATTTAAACAAGACGGATATTTTAAAAAAAGACAAGATAGAGAAAAAAAATCACACAAATACATTTTTTTTTTGTATTTTCCATATAGCTTCACTTTGCTTATATTTGAGCTACAGTGCTCTGGTGTGTTCACTACATTGCAAAAATACAGCCTACCAGTCATGAAGATGTGGATCATCTTTGATCCCTCATTAGGCAGCATGGGATGCATTTCCTTGGTCACAACAGGAAAGAGGAGCAGCACGTGGTTTCTCAGCAGCACTGAGGAGTTCATAATGAGTAAGTATAGGAGCTGGCTTGATTCTTGAGGGCAAACTTCTATGAAAATTAGATGCAACCATATGTGCCAGACAATTACACCACAGTTGGGCTCCCCTTTTTGTGGTCTTAATCTCAGGCCCTAGAACTAGGTCATTGAATTAAGTGTCTATTTGGGAAAGCAAGCAGAAGAGAGCTGAGTGGTTTTTGTACTACTGTTGCTCAATCCAAGCTGCCTCCCAGGCATTTATGCCCTTTTGGCCAACAGTTGTAACAAAACACCCCTTTGTACCTGCAGCCTGACACTGGATGATCACACTGCAGCAACCAGTGCTAGCAGAGGAGACAGAAATCCACTTCAGTTTTCATATCCCAAAGTAAAAAGAGTAAATCGTCAGAAACAAGCCAAAATCATAATCTCACTCCTTTACAGGGGGCTCAAGGGTCACGAACAGCCTCATAAAAGGGACAATTTAAAGCAGGGAAGTTAAATTACTGTTTTCAGCAGCCTTTATACAGTAGCTTAGTCTGATTCTCCATGTAGACAAGACAGTGCTGGGAGTGAGGAAAAATGAATAGTCTCCCCGCTGCCTGACACAATATTCAAATACTGTGGTGTCATCTGAGAGTCAGAAGACTTTTTCGACTGTAGATGGCACTGCACCATTTTGCTTTATGTATGTTGTACCCTTTTCCAGTTTTTCGCAAAACTCTTTCTATTTCTTTAATATGGGACAACGGTGGGACAGTGCTTGCTTCACTATCCTCCCTTCTGTGCTATTTGATCCTTTGACTTCTTCACATTTTCCTTAGTGTTGGTACATGGAACAGAGTAACCCAGTCTCTTTGAGTAAGAGATAGGCTTTTTTAAAGAAAGACGCACATATTTTTTACAATTTTGGAGATATTTTATTGGTATAAAAATGCTTCTTTTGAGTGTGTGGCTATCTGATAAATAAATAATATCTGGGTTTTTTTGCAAGCTTTCCCTGCTAATAATGTGTTATGTTGAATCTTTCCCCTTTAGCTCTGTAATACAAATTTCCCAGCAGTTTGTATTATTTTTTTTTAAAGTTCATAAAAAAGAAACATGGTAAGTAACTTGTTTAGTATCAGCAGAAGGTAAGCCTGGAGCTGATAAATTTTTTTCTTCTGCAGACAGTATTACTGCTGCTAATAAGAATTATTACTCAAGACTCCAGATGACACTGGTAATAATTAGGCCAGCTAAGGCACATAAACAGAAATGTGAAGGGGCAAATCTGTCACTCAGCACTTAGTATAGCTGACAAGGAAAAAGTTAATTATTTTCATTTTTTATATATAGACTGAACTTTTTTATTATTGGCTCATAAATGTACTACCAGCTTCAACATTCAGAATCAATTTCAGAAATCTGTTATGCGATTGTAACAGTGATAGTATAAAATGCAGAACACATTTTTTTCCTCACTGTCACTTAAACCTTCTCTAATTACTCCATTGGCCTAAGTCTTGTGCAGCAGACAAGGCATGTGACTTTACCTCAGTTTTTCTGCAGACTATTCTGGATGAATGGACAGGATCCATAGGTCACCAGAAACCCACCTAATGGGGCAATGTCCTCCCTATAGCCTGGATCCATCTCTCCTAACCTTAGACAAGTACACATTTGGGTCACAGTTAATTTACAGCCCTTCAACAGTCAATTAACTGAGATGCATACTAACACAAAAATACACTCTGTCAGCTAATGAAGCCTTTTGAAAGAGATGCTCCTCCTCAGACTGTGAAGATGGGTAAAAGTATACCAGTTTTCTGGGTTTTTTTAAAGGCTTTTTTGATTTAAAAGTCTAGAGCTGCTATGAAGAGTAAAAATGGTGGTCAGAGACACATTTTTTTCCCTATAATTGCAGGTTTATCTGTGATAATTCAGAATTTTTCAACACAGACTGAGAAAGAAATAAGAAGTTGAACAGTTCCTAACTGTAAGGCACCTACTACATGCTTCAGTAACTCACAAATCTGGTTGTTGCACTACCGAATTTAAAGACTCTTCAGTGTCACTGGATTTTCATCTCCACAGCCTGTAATTTCTCCTGAAATGCTTAAAAGAGCGTATTTTTCCACAACAATGTTGTACTTTCCACTGGTTAAAAAAAACCCCAAACAACAACAAAACCAGTAATTTAAACCAGAGGCTCAAGTTAGGCTGTTCAAAATATTTCTGTTTTACAGTGTTACCTTACCAGCTCAAGATACCTCTGCAAATCAAACCATATCATCCTGATCTTCATGAATGGTATTCATTAGTTTACTGATCTATGAACTGGGGACAGTTAGAAAAGCCTGAACAAGAAACAATAGATAAAAGTAGTTAATATATTATTTTTCCATCAAAATATTGAAAGTCCAGCAAAGGAGATCAAACTCTTGCAGAGAAACCTATTGCTAAAAACTGTTGGTTATTCTGTCAAGGTTTTGGCCGACTTGGACTCTATCAGGTCCTATCCATGAGTCAGTAGTATTTTCCAACTTTTCTGTGTCCCTTGCGGTAGTTCTCAATTCTTTACAGTAGTATTTTCTAAGAAAAAGCTGAGGGACAGTCCAACTTCTTAGAAACTATTTTGCTCATATAGAATTTATTCATCTTGTCTTTAACCTTGTTCTATTTTAAGTCTCTTGATCTTTTCACTGTGCTGTTTACCTCTCAAAGGATGCCTGCCCCAGCTATTCATTTGAATTCATTATTGTACAGCAAAGCATCGTTTATGACTGACTTCAGCTGTATTTTGACCTCCTTATCTCCCCAGATGGTCATTACTGTTCTCAGGCCAGCTGGCAGAATGCTTGGAGCAATGCCATCTCTGAGCTTTGCTTATTACTGAAGCAGAAAGAAGCTATCACTAGGAAAATAATGCATAAATAAATCCCACACAGCATACAGGGTTAGTTACAATGGTGAATGACAGCTGGAAAAACAAATTTTGTACAGCGAAATAAAGGAAGCAGATTGCACAATTCAGGTGAACTGGGTCAGACGGCATGGGTAAAAATCCTCGAGATTCACCTACATACTCAGTTTTCCCCAAACTGAACTGCTGCTGAAGAGCCCGTATCACTTTTTCCCCACTTAAAATGTTTTGTGGATTAACAAATAGCTAGGTTCTTCTAAAGTCTTTGAACACTGGCATCACACAGGGCATGCAACTGTGGCTTTAAAAAAATACATAGAAACTCTGTCCATCCGTGTTGATATTAATAGATCATTAATATATTTCTGTATGGTGGAAAAAGCGGTGCATGTTTTGTTTTGTTGTGTTTTTTACTCTGTATTTAACGTCAGGTCCCACCTGCCTCGGTTCCTGGCTTCCCTCCCCGAAGTGCTACACCTTAATCCTGTTCCAGATTGACCTGTAATCTGTATCGCCTATTACATCACCCAAGATACTAATTAAAAGGTAGCATTTACTTGAGCCCTGATGGAGTTTACCTGAAACACGCACCAAGCGCACTGCAGGTAATAGCAAGAGCAGTTCTTCAAATCCCTGTGCACGTATCCAGGCCGCTTCTCAGACTGTCGGCCAAAAACCTCACAAAAATCCACATGTACCAGATAAATTAAACTACCTGCCTCGGCGCAGACTTTTCTGTCACTTTCATATTCTCTAGAGATCTGCAGGTTGGTGGTTTAACTATTTACTTCCCGGTCCTCCTAGACACGCGTTGCCTGCCACAAACCCACCCTCCTCCTCCTCCACAGCCCTCCCGGCTGCTTCTCCGACGCCGAGGGGCAGGAAGAGCCGCCCATGCCCCCCCTTCCCCCGCCCTGTCCCGACCATGCCCAGCCCCTCTCCCA